AACTAGGAATGAGGAAGAGAACAGACCTTTAATAATACCACAGCACGGGGTTCCTCTAGCACAGGCTGTGTGGCTACCTCCATTTTGATGTCTTCCTACTCCCTAGGGATCATGTTCAAATTCCTCACATGATAAGACATTCCCTTGTAAGGGATTGTCTCCAAAGTCTAACCCTTATCACTATACAGGGGGCATGGGGTCAGGCCTGGGCTCCAGGTGGCAGGGGAAGTGGCCTCTCACTCGGAGGGCAGCTCCCAGCCCCATGGAACTTGGGGTGGGCTGCAGCCAGTGCTCTTGGGAGGAGTGTGTGTGGCTGTGAGCCACCAGCTGGGAAGGCAGGGCAGGTGATGCCTGTACCATACTTGTCCTTCCTTCCCCTTAGAATTTCAATAGAAGCAGCAGTGGGCCCCAGAGCTTCCCCACACTGTGTCCTACAGATGAGGGGGAGGCGCTGGAGTGCAGGGCAGTAGGGACCAATGCAGCATCACCAGAGCTGGGAACTGCCCTTGGACTGCTGAGCAGTCAATCCCATGCCCAGCTGGGCTGTCCTAGCCTGTTCTCCTGCAGTACCTGGTATGTGGCAGAGCCCAGCCTGACCTGTCACCAGCTGTACCTGGCTCTGGGGCTTCTGTGGAGTGGGGGTCTTGCTGATGTGCCTCTGGGCCTGCTGCTCCCTGCACAGTTACTACATCAGTGTAGGGCTGCTCCCAGTGCACCTGCAGAGCTCTTAGCAAGGAGCAGGAAAGCACCAGAGTACCCAGTCCCCCTGTGTCCCCATGCCTGCTTGCCCCTGGCTCTCTGCCTTGGGCTGTGCATGAGGGCAGTTCCCAGTCCTGAGGCTGCTGCATGGTCCCTGCTGCCCTGCACTGCAGTGCCTCCCCCTCAGCTGCAGGACATGCACTGTGGGGAAACTCCAAGCCCTACTGCCACTGTAATCGCAGCTCCTGAGTGAAGGAAGGATGAGTATGGTATGGGTGCCACAGCCCCTGCCTCTCCAGCTCGTGACTTGGACACACATGCGCTCCTCCTGGGAGCACCAGTTGGAGCTAACCCCAAGCTCCGCAGGGCTAGGAGCTACCCCCAGAGCTTCCTCTGCCCCCTGTAACTTGGAGCTTAGCCAGGCAACAGTGTGGGCTTCTGCTGCTTGAGCTGATCAAGAGCAATTTGGTCCTGGGCAGTGTCTACATGTGCACTAATGTACATTTTCTTAATGTGCCGTTTTTCTAGTTCCTCTATGTAGTCTAATGTTCGGTTTGCTAGTACCAATAATGTAATGTGCAGTAATTGCTGTACATGTGTAGACAGTGACACTTTACTGAACATTAGATTATTCTAATTCACAAAAAATCATCTCGTGTAGACACACCCACTGTGTGAATAAGCAAGTGTCAGTGTGTTGTGAGTGTGAGCATGAGTTTGAGAGAGACTCTGCAGGGACAGACATTCCACCAGGACCAGGTGTAGAATAGGCACTGCTTCTCTTGCTTTCCCCCACACCGGGATCATCCTGACCCGGTTTCAGAAGGCACAGAGAGCAGGGAAGAGGAGATGGCTGTAGCAGGATTTCAACCCAAGCAGCATGGGGGACAGAAACTCCACCACTGCAGCCAGATTCCCAGCTTCTTCTGGCGCGCCAGCAGCTCCACCAGCACCCTGGGCAGAAGCCCCTTCACCATGACCAGAGCCAGGGCTGCAGTCACACTTGTGGGGCTTCCCATAGTGGCAGCCACAGCTTCAGCAAGAGTGGGGGAGCAGCGCTATAGCTTTGGCTGTCATTATGGAGTTTCCTGCGGTGGCAGTCAGTGCCCTATTCTTTGCCAGGAGACAGGCAGCTCCAGCAGCACCGTAGTAGAGGCTCCACCACTGTAGCCAGAGCCTGCTGAACTGTCTCTTTTGTCCTGGCCTGGCAGCAGTAACAGGGTTTCTGCTGGCAATGCTGCTTAGTGCTGCACTCCCTAAGGTGCCGGCAGCTGCTGTGGGAAGCCCCACCACCACAGCCAGAGCTGGGGCAAAAGCCTGCTAGCGGGATGACCAGGGTCAGTAGGCCTAATCCAGCCCACAGGCTGTATGTTTGACACCCTGCTGTAGAGCATTCCAGCTCACTAGTAAACCTGAACTTGTTTTCAGCGGGTTCTTATGTAGTTACAACTATACCAGCCTGCTTTGCTTTCTGAAGTCTTCACCAGGGTCTAAACTTCTTTTGGACCCACAGTGAGAAAAAAGGCAAAAGGTCAAGGAGCAGACAGGAGAGTACCAGGCAATTTAAAAAAGGTGGAAACTTAGGGCCTAATATGGAAGGGGACGCTACAAAAGCAGTGGTATAAAAGTTAAGGCATAGCACACCATGCAAGTCTGTCCTTGTTTCAAAGAAAAATTGGCAAGGCTAATGGAAACTGCTATGCCAAAACAGTACAATGTTAGGTCCTCCTGATCTTTCCTCCAGTGCTTTCTTGGCTAACTTACAGAAAGGTCATTTGCACATTATGCAAGCTTTTAAATGAAAGGCTGAATAATGAAGAGTAAAATACAGGCAACCATGAGAAAAACAGGCTTTTGGGATGCCCATTGTTAGATCTGGGTTCTTTCAGAATCTGCAGACAAAAGCCAAGCTGTTCTGGCAATTTGCTTTCCTGAGTTCTCCAGTCCCATTTTCTTTAGGAAATTCCCCTTTATTCTCTGAGGGGAAGAGCACTGCAGACACTTCACTTAGCTTTGCTGTAGTCCTCCAGGTCTCTCAGATCATCCTCATTACAACCTAATGGCCTGCCACATGCTTCCCACTTTTGATGTTCTTCAAGGAGAAAACCTGCAGCAAGCATCAGGGGTTCTTTACATTTCCTTTTAAGGCCAGCTTTTCAACTGACAAAGCAGGGTAGCACCACTGAAAGCAGTAGAGCCATGTTGATTTACAGTAGCCGAAGAGCTGATCCTCATTTCTCAACTCTCATCGTAAAATAGTTTATAAAACTCAAAAATCCTCCTTCTGAAGCACAGCCTCAGAACATCATCTCCCAGGATATGAAGCCCTCTGGAGGGGATGACATCAGACTTAATTAGGGTCACTGTGTAACTTTGTGGTTTAACCTGCTTGCATGCATTCCCCAAGAGTAAGCCAAAAAACAGCCATCCCTCTCCAGTTAGTCCCAGAACAGACTGTCTCCAGAATCCCTTATGATGCTGGGAGAAATTGCTTTTCAAATCCTGTTCAATCATTCTGTATATTTAAGTAGAAATCATTTGCTTTTATGATAGTGGGAATTAACCGAACTTCAGATCTCCTGCAGCTTGTTGGCTTTTTGTACAACTTACAGAACACTTCCCTCATTACAGCGTTACAAACTCTCTGTTAATCTCATACTACTACTGTACTGTAGGTACACATTGACTCCATTGTACAGATGGGAAAGGGTTGGACTGAGTGATGGGAAAATGGCCTTGGACAGGGGATGCCATGACAGCTGCAGAAGCTCCTGCCTGACAGACCTGTATTCCAGCTGCACCTTTCAGACTAGCCAGAGCTTCCATCTGATATTATGCTACCCCCATCCCCATAGTATGGGGGTAGCATAATACCCCCTCCCAGTACTTAATACTATTTCCCTCCCTCACAACACCCCTGTGCGGGAGGGAAGGTGCCATCAGCCCCACTTTACAGATGGGGAACTGAGGCACAGCGATAAAGTGACAAGTCCAAATTCACAAAGAGAGTCTGGGGCAGACCAGGGAATGGATTCCAGGTCTGTGAAGTCTCAAGCTAATGCTCTGACTACTTGACCATCCTTGCTCTTTGATCTCCTTCCGATTCTCTCTCTCACACACACCCACACTCCAGCTCTCCCCAAATTCAGCAACTGTGAGCTGCATCCAGCAAGTTCTTTGGCTTGCTAACAATTTTTAAAGATGATGCCATAGACCACATCTCTGCCACTGGTGCCACCAAATCAGGAGGACTTTATAGTTTTCTCTACAGTGTAGAGAAGGCTCCAGAGTTGTTGCTAACTCTCCAATCTCTGCAGAAATTCCAGCTCTCAAACTGAGCAGAGAGATGGGAACAGAGCATTGAACCCACGTTCCCTGTACAGCACAGCACAGCAAAATGCTTCTTCCCAAGTGGTGCAGTTTTTCAGTAGAGGCCAAGTACATATGAATCTAAATTCTCCCCAGTCAGCATCTGGGAAACAATCTCCTTCTGTTCCTAAATCCAACATTGCATAACTGAAAACTATTTACCCAAAATACATTCTTTTGAAAATAATTTATCACTTCCACAGAGAGCTATTGCAACAGCACACAGCCTGAGGACCAGAGGTAGAAGCAAACAGAGCAAGCAAACAGGACCGGGGTGGAAGCCGGTCCCTACAGTTTTTATAGAAAGACAAAAATGTTATTAAAATCCATCCATGCCAAAGTTTTAGAGCTCTAGTTGTGAGCTTCAGATTCTGTAGTCAAAATAACTCAGTACGTGTTCATCTCTCATAGCCAGCTGTTACAATGGTGTCTAATGAAGGAATAATGCAGCATCTAGCAAAACTTGTTCTTTGGCAATCCCTCGCAGTTAAGGATGATTGTCTTCTGTAGCTGTTTTATCTGTGTGTCTAAAGATGGCTGATGATGCCTATCCAGGATCGACAGACTCTACTGCAGCTCGGACATGTGTTTCTGCGTGGGGGAAAAAAAATCTAACAAAACAACGCTGTTGTGATCAAGAGATTGAGGTGGTGGAACTGTCTAAACAACTCTGATTGCAGAGTGATAAAAAGTCGTTCCCCCCCTTCCCCCACTGCAGATAGAAGGACGTTTGTTCTAGATAAACACATGAAGTCATAAAAGGAAAGATGAATTTAAAAACTTAATAACCTTAATTTTTTTGGAAAGTCAGCCAGGATTGAGAGCAAGCTTGCTTCACCAACTGAGGAAAGGACAAGTTGTTTACCCTTTCTAAAAAGTAACACCAACCTCCCCCCACCCCCTCTACACTGACCACTCCCATAACCCGTGTTACTTAACTTTTACATAAACAAGCAGCTCTGAGAAGCATCAACTTCAGAGAGAGGACTGGAATTTGGACTGGATTGACTGATCATTTGAGAGCAGAAACTGCAAGCAGCTAGAGGAGTTTCTGGAAAATCTTTGAAAAGGTAGGCAACAGCCTGGATTTTTTTCTTTTTCCTTAAACAAGCTAGCTGCAAATGTGGGCCCAAAATAAAGTCTCCTTGAAGACTTTCCTAGTGGGATTTGGCTTAGATAAACAATTTGCCATACTAATTAAAAAAAAAAATCAATTGAAAGAACTTTCAGGTGATTTGATTTCTGCAAGAAGGAAGCAATTAAAGTTCTCATCTGAAATATAAACTTCAGGTCTTTTTACAGTCAGGTTTGATAGTCTGCTTATGTCTAAGGAATATGTGCAAGGATAGTCTTAGTTCAATTTTGATTCATTATTGAAATTTAGAACCAAGCCAGGACAGTTGTCATGACCACACTGTTTGGCTGTTTTGCTCAGCAATGCTGTGAGCTAACGGTGTGCCTAGCCACCGCTGCTCACTTTTCACTTCCACTTTGCATTAAGAGTTGATATACTTCCCAACCCCCACTATTTGTCTTGGGAGCCTTTTGATTTGAAATGGCCATTTTGGGCAATACCTGGGTAAATGGTTGTAAGTGAATGAAGGAAACAGTATACTCAAAAGGCTCCTTCCAGTTCTGTTTCTTACATTTTCTATATTTTTGTAGGTTCTGAACTGCCAACATGTTTCTGGCCTTTTGTCTGGTATCCGTGGGGCTGCTCCTCTCCTTACCTGGTGTTGCAAGGGGAGAATTGGAGCCTGTTCCTGAAATGGAAGGCCTGTTTCAAGAATTACAGAAAAAAGTGAATGACTTGTGGCAGAATTTGCTCTACCCACAATTTCTCAGACAGAGTGAGTGGACGGCTTACGCTACTTGTGAAATGAAGCCTAGCTCCAAATTAGATGCTGACAAACCACAAGTGACAGGACAAATCTTGTTCAAACAGTCCTACCCAATTGGAAAGCTAGAAGCTTTCTTTGACCTGGATGGGCTTCCATCAGAGAACAATCAGTTGGGTAGGGCTATTCACATCCACAAGTTTGGAGACCTCAGTGATGGCTGTAACACTACTGGAGGACACTATAACCCCTTCAATGTGAACCATCCTCACCATCCAGGGGATTTTGGCAACTTCTACTCTAAAGATGGCAAAATTAGAAAATACAAGTCAAACCTGTCTGCTACTCTGTTTGGCCCATATACCATTATGGGCAGATCTGTTGTTATTCATGAGCAGGAAGATGACATGGGCAAAGGTAACAATAAGGCCAGTTTGGAGAATGGAAATGCGGGCAGACGTCTGGCTTGTTGTGTCATTGGGATATGTGACAAGAACACGTGGGAGAATAAATTCTCCAAGTTTGCAGAAAGAAGGAAAAGAGGCTCACAAAATGAGCACAGGAGCAGGCCCAACTGAGGGCCTGAATACCAGCTATCTCCAAGGCAGCCCAGAATAGATTTAGTTTATGCAGTTGTTGCTAAGAGATATGGCAAAAGGTTTCCCATTTCCATTGGAACTTGGCTCTGTTGTTCTCTAAGAAAAGCATGATGGTATGTACAGCTTTTCCCTTCTGTAAGCAGATTAATAAAAACAGCATCAACACAACATTGCAAGGTATTCTTTCTTCTTAAATGTAAGACTCCCACTTACGCAGCTCTAAAGTTTACTGCATCCCAGTACGGGCAATAAGATATCCAGTTAATGAAATCGGAAAAGGATGTTTCCACTCTAAGGGATCACAAGCTAAGGAATAAAGGAAAAATAGCAAAAATAAATGAGAAATTGCTTTTGACTTGATGCTTTCCATCCGGGTAGTATTTTCCTACTCATCTGAAAGGTATAAAGATTTCTGTGCCATCAACTATTTTGGGCAGTGTGCCGGTAGAACTAGACAATGGCCTTTCCCTTCAGCTTAGGTGAAGTATAGACATTATTTCTATTTTTGACTTCAAATCCATTATAGTATTCTTACTTATATTTGCTGTTTTTATTCTCCTACATGTATAAGCTTCTTAACTGGTTTCAGTTAGCTATATGTTTATGGCTGAGTCGCGCTGTTTACATTTGAAAGCAGATTTATAAGAACCGTTCTGGGTTTTTATTTTTTTTTAAATAAAAAGCCAGTTTGAAAGTGTTTACTATGTAGAAAATGTATCTGGTAAAACTTGTTTAATGCCACTGACATAGCATAGATAAATTAGGTTAAAAATAGATGCTATACAGTATTTTCAAAATAAAAAGATAAAAATAGAGTGCATATTCATACACAAATATATGTGGCAAATTAGTCTGTTCAGACTGCAGGCACTAAATGATAGTAGAAAAGGCTTTCAGTTTAGGCAGGATTTGTTTGGCTTTGCCCTATACAAAAATCAACATCTTTACAGTCTTCCCTTCTGTAATATAGGATCATAAATTACTGCATATCCCACTGAAATGCAACACGTTGTCATAATTAAATGTTATCCGATACAAAATCTCTCATAAGTAGAAGATAAAGAATCAGAGCAGGCAAATACATCAGGAAATGCTTTTCTTTATTCCAGGTGACAAAATATATATTTATGTAGTTTAGTCATGTTACAGGATGATTGCAGGTTGCAACAAAAGAAAGGTTTGCAAATAAATAAAAAGTGCATCTCTTTTTAAATAAAGCTATAAAACAGCAGCTGGTAAAAAATCCCCATCTTTTTAAATTTTAATAGGTGTTCAACATAATCTCAGCTAAGATTCTAAAATATATTCCTGAGCTCATATGGATTAAAGAAATTCTGATTTCCTTATGATACAAATTGCCCTTTGCATAAAAATAGCTGCACTTAGAAAGGAAGCAGCTTTTAAAAAATGTTTCTTAGTTTGTCATTTTCATACACTTGTGTTTTACAGATTCATTGAATACCCCTTCTAAAATAGCCACAACACAACAGTACCCTCTAAAGTGCAACTTGTTCTTTCCAGTTAACCCATGGATTTGCTATTGGTCTCCATTACAAGTTTACCATCTCCCAGAAGCATACAAAATAAGGGAAGTTGACCATGTGTTAGCATTAATGACTAGTGTCTTAAAAAAAAAATCTCTGAAATGTTGGCTTTGACTCCCCTCCCTCCCTCCCCAATCCTATTATTGATAAGGTTTGTGGCTGAGTAAGCCTACCACAAGACACTTTTAAAATCTTAGAGAAGGAATGCATGTCTCAACATGGAAAATAATGAGCAACTCCACAAAGACAATAGTTACACTATTATCAGAGGTGCAGGGACACCTAGGGCAGGGAGGTGGGTATAGGGGTATGCTGACCACTGTGCACCACAGGGGAGGAGGGTGCAGAAGGGGCAGATGTGGGCGAGGGGAAGGGAAGGCTTGATTTCCCAGGCTAGTGCTGCCACTGCTGCTTATACAGCAACAACAGTAGCAGCATTACCTCTGCTCCCTGACTGAACCCTGTGACTGGGCTCTCTGAGAACTGACCCTGGTGCCTCATTTGCTTTCCCCACCCCACCCCAACCAAAAACATACGTTAGGCACAGGGTTGTGACTGCTCTTGCCAAGGCTACTGAGGGGCAGGAGGAAGGGGAATGCACCACTCCACTTGTTCCATTCACCCCGTCACCTGGATGCACTGCTTGGTGTGGTGGTACCCTGCTCAGCTCCTCTGGCTGGGCAGGGGCAGTGCAAGTCCCAAGGGGAGGGCCACAACTTTGCGTCCAGAGCTGGCGCCCTGCTTGTCCCAACCTACTTACACTACTGACCAGCATAGCAGCAACTTCAATGGAAGGAGAATAAAGACCACAGCGTACAGTCAATTGTATGTTAGTGCAAACAAATCTTACTTAAAAGAACGGTACGTATGAAAAGAGCACAAGCTACATTGGACTCTGCCAGGAGAGGCCGGTAGTATAGTACTGAAATGAGGCCTACGTGGTGGTGCCTGGCTAGAAATGATGGCAAAGGAACAGAAATGGAATCCACGTGGGAGGGATGGCATGAGGTTAATCCCTAAGAAAATTTAACATGCAGGATGATGATATTAGTTCTCTTTCAGAGCTGCTCATCTGCCCCCCAGAAACAGAAACAAGACAACATTTCAGAAACCAAAGACAATTGTGAACCTTACTCTTCTCTCATAGGCCCCAGCATCGCCTCCATGTAGCATTACTGTTCATTTGCAGACTGATCCAAAAAACCCACAGAAGTCATGGAAAGACTCTCACTGACTGTATGAGCATTCGTGGTCATCTAGCCAGGTGCCGAGGGATTGGACACTGGCTAATGTGGTCCCTATTTTCAAGAAAGGGAGGAGGGAGGACCCAGGTAACTATAGGCCTGTAAGTCT